AGTGACTGCTCACTGGTGGAAATGTTCTAGAATTAGACAGTAGTGATGGTCACACATTTCTGTGAATGTGCAGCCATGGAATTGTAAGCGGGTAAATTGTGTATTATGTGAGTAAGCCTCAATAAAGCTGTTATAAAAAAAACACGTAGGAGGTGGCAGTAACGAGGTGCAGAGGACACCTCCACTGGGACCTGTTCTGGGTCCCTTCTGAGGAGTCACAGGGTTCACCTCAAAGGCTGCTGGGAAGGATGACAGTGTAAGCTCTGGAGGGCAGAGGCTGGTGTTGTCTCTCTCCACAGGCTGTGGGGACAGTCATGCGTGTGGAGCCTGGTCGCTGGCCTTGTGCAGGAGGGGAAGGAGAGGCCCTGGGCAGCCCCCCGGGTTGTCTGGCAGACCAGGACTCCCTTGTCCCACCTTCCTTGGGGCCTCATCGAGGCATCATCAGCCCTGAGGCCTGAGTTCTCGCCGGCCTTCTCGGACCTTGGGGGGCTGTCAAGGAGGAGGGACTGGGTGAGGCGGGACCTCATAACATCTGACATCTGTTTGGTGCCTTTTCCTCTAAATGTACCCAAAGCACATCTCCAGTTCTGAAAGATGGCCATTCACGTGGCCTGAGCGACATGCGTGTGTCTCAGCCCCGCTTCCAGCTGCAGCCCTACCTGGGCACTCGGGAGATGTGCAAAACCGGCTGCTGCTTCGCTGGCACAGGGAGCCTCCCAGGTGGGCCCAGCTGTGTTTGTGCCTGTAGCTCCCTAGTCTCCAGAGGCACTTGGGCAGGATCCTTCCTGCCTCTTCCAGCTCTTGGCGGCTCCAGGCATTCCTTGGCTTGTGGCCACCTCACTCCAGTTTCTGTCTCTGTCTTCACATGGCCTTCTCCCGTGTGTCTCTGTGTCTCCCCTCTTCTTATAGGGACACCTGTCGTTGGATTTAGGGTCTATCCTCATTCAGTATCATCTTATCTGAACTAACTGCATATGTACTATTTCCAGATAAGGCCACGTTCACAGGCTCTAGTGAATTTGCGGGGAGACGCTGTTCCCCAGTACACGGTCCTTCCTGAAGCAGACGGCTGGGGAGGGCAACACCCCGAGTCACACCTTGTGTCCTAGACGCCTGGCCCTTTCTGAGCTGGAGGAAGAGAACTTGGGTCATTGACTAGGCCAAACCCCTAATGGAATATGGAAACGCAGACCTCCATGCCTCAGTTTCCTCAGTTGTCAGAGGGGAGTGATACCATCTGTGCCTGTGTTAGGGTGGCCATGGATGCGAAGATGAGCGCTTTGAGAAACAATGTCAGGCGTCCTGTTGCAGTGTGTGGGAGACCTCTGGCCCCAGGCAGGGTGTCTGCTGGAATACGGGTTGAGGACCAGTGACAGGGCCCAGCACAAGCCCCCCCACATCCCATGGCCCCTGTGCTGCACCCATCTTCTCTAAGCTTTTT